TCTCCCCCCCCCTCACCTTTTCTGTCCCCCCCTTCTCTCTCTTTTTGTCTGTCTGTCTGTCTGTCTGTCTGTCTGTCTGTCTGTCTGTCTGTCTGTCTGTCTGTCTGTCTGTCTGTCTGTCTGTCTGTGTCGAGACGTCGTTGTCTCGTTTTCATCATCATCATCATCATCATCATCATCATCATCATCATCATCATCATCATCATCATCATCATCATCATCATCATGTGATGCGCTGTCCCCGGCATATAATGTCACCCCATTACAGCCGTCCCTGATTTTCCTGTCCTGTGACGAATTAGCACGGGCCTGGTGAGCCCTTAACTAGGTCAGCCGGCCATGTACAAAGATCCGTTGTCGTCCTAATTTCGCTCCGGATTCCTTGTCTCTGTACTTAGCCTAATCCTGCACTTGGAGGTGGGACAGGATGTGACAGGGTGGAGTTGGTTGTGGGTAGGGGATGAGTAACCCCAACCGAAACAAAAACCCCCAAAGAAACAAAGCAAAAAAAACAAAAAACCAACAACCCTGAGACATGGACCCGGCGTTTGCTGGACTGACACGCTGAGCAATGAAACTTTTTTTGTTCGCATAACAAAATGTCCACATGTGATGAAACGGTCTAACGTGCGGGTTACACACTGGTCATCTTCTGTTTGGCCTCAATGCACGGTGTATGGGTGTTTGTTTGTATGTGTGTGTGTGTGTGTGTGTGTGTGTGTTGGGGGGGGGGGATGGTGGTTAGGGTGGGGAAGCGGGGATTCAACAGTGGTGGGTTCTTTTTCTCCCTTTTAACTCGGTTGTTTCTAACCTCGAAAGAATGTGGTTCTGAGGTGGTATTTCGCCTGAAAAATAGTTTCTGTCACTTCAACGTGAATTGGAATAGCGCCCCGTCTCTTCGTAAAGAGCTAGGTTTTTAACCAAAAGACAAAGTTACTTAAACAAGACAGAGACGAGTGTAGGGTGTAACCGACCGAAGACGACTTTCGAAAAAACAAAACAAAACAAAACAAAACTCCACCTACCCATCATTGCTTCTCCGTGTTGAAGCGACTGTAAGGTTTGCATTGTATCCAGCGGTTTCTCGGAAATTTTATACTGTTTGTATTTTGAATTATTTGAACATCTCAAGCTCTTGTTGG